TCGAGCCGGTTAACATCCTCCGAAGCGTAGCCCTCTTGATCAGGGGAGTCGGAGCTGTACCCGCAAGCTTACGAGCAGCACGAGCCTCGCGCCACCGCTCCTGAACTTCCTCCTCGGAGGCACGTTCCGCAACGAGAAGTTGTTTATATACATCCAATTTGGCCTCCGCATATATCCACATCTCGTGCGCATCTTGAGCCACGTCCCCACGCCGTGGCGGGGCAGTATGCCTGAGAATATCGACCTCAGCCACCTTGGCTTCGAGTTCGGCTGTCAAAGTGGCCACCCTACGATGCAGATCGGCAACCTCCGCCGCCACCCCACGGCTGAGCTCCAACTCCTCTTCCCTCAATTTGAGGAGTGATTCCAGCTCGTTATTACGAGCCACAACTTTCACCAGCTCCTCATCCGTTTTCTCCAGCTCCGCCACCCTGCGGCTCAATTGCGCCTCCTTCTATTCGAGGCCTTCCCGAAACACCCAAAATTTTGGATCTTGCTGGAAAAGGTCCGCCGCCGCCTGATGCTTGGAGCGATACTGCTTGTACTTCTTCACCATTTTATCAAAAATGATCGCTCTCTTCTCCTCACGACGCCTCCTCTCCACTTCCGAAACCAGGGTCTAAAAAATATACACGTACATGTGAGTTAGTACGCATCAAAATCAACTTCACGACACACGGAAGAACAGAGAGTTACCTGTAACGCCATACCAGCGACCCTCCGAGACAACTCCAAATCAGTGACAGCACTCAGCATCTCGCGCTCGGGGGCGACACACAGTAGAGTCATCTCCAGCGCAGCCCGCTCGCTGTGCCGTAACAAATTGTAAGCCCCTGGAATCACGATGCGGCGGCCAGACCCGTCCGCTGTCATCTCCACGTGTGCAGTACCTTCCGTCATCTCGTCCACGTCCCCGTGGGCGGCTTCAGCGGTCGGTCCCTCAGCATTGCCGCCAACGAGAGGTGATGAGCCACCCTCGGCAAAACAAACCGAGCTGGTACCAACATTAGCACTTACCTGGTGGGCCGGCCTCCCCGAACGGATGGCGTCGGTCATGAAGACAGGTCTAGTTATTTGGCGAGGCACACCACTCCTTTCACCCCCAATCGCCACCGCCTTACCCGTTACGAGCCTCCGTCTTTTTCTCTCCTCAGGCTCCTCGCCCTCGGAAGGCTCGTCCACAGGCTGCGGAGACGACGTCGACGGCCTCGCCTCACTCGTAGCCACCTCTGCAGGAACAACCTCTTGTAAAGAGACTATGGTCGCCCCCTCCCTGGCAGACGCATAAAGTATCTCCTGCATATTCTGACCAACATCTGATCGGGCGGAGGTGGATGCCGTTGCCTTCCTCTTAGGAGCACTTCGACCTGACAATGCAAATAGTTTAGCTGTCGAAGTTTGTAAAAGCGACTAATTAAAGTCGAAGAAATACCTGAAGGACCCGCGGGGCCGTAACGTTCAAAGAACTCAGCCCATGTGCGGGTTCCTTTCGCGAGAGGCAGCAAACCAGCTACCCACTACTTGATATCAGTTATGAACCGGGGAGCGTGAGCTATTGCTGCAAAATAACAAAAAAATCATAACGATGGTATAATCGGAACCGCTAAGGTCATGTACGATAAATGACTCGACGGATGGGAATATTTACATCTCGAATTCCACCTCTCAGGGAATCCGACGGGGTTGGATACCAGGTGCTCCGTTTTGATAAAAAAGTACCTACGCCAATAGCCACGGTTAGCCCTATCACCGGTCTGCACGACCAACCCCTTCGAGCCACGATTCTTTAGATGTAGCATGGTACCCCTCATATAGCCGGCGCTGAATAGCTGCAATAGGTGGTGGACAGAGACCTCCAACCCAGCCAGCTCCGCATATGTAGACATTATCCTACTTACCTTTAGGGTGTACGGAGTGAGTTGGGTGGGACACATGTTATAAAAACGGCAGAGCTCTTCCGCCAATAGAAAAATGGGAAGGCCATAGCCGATTAAAAAAGGATATTCGTAAAACGCAAAGTACCCCGGTCTGTGTGCGTTCACGAAATCTGCTCCCGCCAAAACCATCTCCACATGAGCGGGTATATCAAAAGACGTACGAAGATTATCTAAATCATCTTGCGTTAACTCGGATTTCTCCCAAGATTGCTCGGGAGAGTCCCGTTGGAAGTCCCTCCTGATAAGGAGTTGCTTCGGTAGCACATTATCCACAGTGAGAGGGGTGAGATCCTCCTCTCTCTCTCCCTTATCGCCGCCGGGGGGAGGCGGCGCGTCAGATGGTTTACTATTACGAGCCTTCAGATTATTATCCCATTTAGGTTTTGTCATTATTTCCTTTAAGGAGCAGTGTACGACACAACCACAAATGTGCTTTCAGAGAAGCGGTGGATTTTCGGAGAAAGGAAGTGTTTTCCTAAATAATCGGAAAACGTTTGCAGATGACCTAAAGCTGGATTAAGTTAAACTCTTTCCCTATTTATAGTTATATTCGATTACAATTTACCTGTGATTCATTTTAATTGTTTTTTCGCTTCTAAAGTAATCAGTATCTTTTGAGCCAAACAAGTATATCATAGAGAATTAAACTTGTACATAATAGACTAGTTAAAATAGATCCAACGAAACAACATCACCAACAAACCCAATGCAACCTCACACAATGGGGTTTAGGGAGGGTAATGTGTACGCAAGCCTTATCCCTACCTTATGAAGGAAGAGAGGTTGTTTCCGATAGACCCAAAGCTCAAGAACAGTGAAAAAGACACAATAAACAAATAGTAACAATGGCAAGGAAGTAAGATAAGAGAAACAAATAACACGGCCTGTAATAGCAAAGGAACTAGGAATACGAAGCTACAAGAGAAGTGCGAAAGCTACCGACAATAATGCCACATCGTCTAACAACAGGGAACTCTAAATAAGACAATATAAGACTAGTACTACTGCCACTAGTACGACTAGAAGAGACTCTCGACTACCTATCGGCCTACAACTCTAATCCTCGACCTCCACACCTCCCTATCGAGGGTCATGTCCCTGGTAAGCTGAAGTAGTGCCATGTCCTGCTTAATCACCTATCCTCAGTACTTCCTAGGCCTCCCTCTACCTCTTCTCTGACCCGCTATGGTTAACCTCTCGCATCTCCTCACCGGGGCATCGGTGTCTCTCCTCTTCACATACCCGAACCATCTCAGCATCGATTCCTTTTCCATAGGGGCCATACCCACCTTGTCCCTAATAACTTCATTCCTAATTCGGTCTTTCCTGGTATGCTCACACATCCATTTCAACATCATCATCTCTGCTACTTTCATCTTCTAGACATGAGTTTTCTTGACTGGCTAGCACTCGGCTCTATACAACATAGTCGGCCTCATTACCACTTTGTAGAACTTGCCCTTAAATCTTGGTGGCACATTCCTATCACACAAAACACCAGACGCAAGCCTCCATTTCATCCACCCCGCTCCAACACGATGCGTAACATCCTCGTCATCTCCCTGTTCCCCTGAATAACAGACCCAAGATATTTGAAACTATCTCTCATGGGGATGACTTGTGTACCAAGTTTCACCTCCACCTCTTTTCCTGCGTCCCCACACTGAACTTGCACTTCAAGTATTCAGTTTTTGTCCTACTCAACTTGAAACCTTTAGACTTCAGGGTCTGCCTCCACAGCTCCAGCCGATTGTCAACACCGCAGTGCATCTCATCGATTAGCACTATGTCATTTGCAAATAACATACACCATGGTATCCCCCCCCCCATGTGGCGCGTTAGCAGATCCATCGCCAGTGCAAATAAAAATGGGCTAAGAGCTGAACCCTAATGTAACGCCATCATCACAGGAAAATAGTCCGAGACTCCTCCCACAGTCCTTACCCGAGTTTTCGCTCCATCATACATATCCTTAATCACCCTAATATACGCTACCGGAACACCACTAAACCTCCAGGCATCTCCATAGAACCTCCCTCGGGACTTTATCGTAAGCTTTTTCTAAATCTATGAATACCATATGCAAGTCCATCTTCCTCTGCCGATATTGCTCCACCAACCTCCTCACATGATGAATGGCTTCAGTGGTTGAACGCCCCGGCATGAAACCGAACTGATTCTCCAAAATAGACACACTCATCCTCACCGTCTCTCCACCATCATTTCCCACACTTTCATAGTGTGACTTAGTAGCTTTAAAATAGATCCATCCGCAGCAATTAATCTGCCCGTACATCATGCTAAATTACAATGCCTCAATTAACTACACTTTAATTCTAAATTAGTTAGAGTTGATTGTATGAATTATTTATATTCTAATGATCCATCATAGTTAGATACTTTGTGCTAGGTTGTTAGCTTATTGCATATTTTATCCTTCATTATACTTGAGATAACTATATTTATAAAAGAAGCTTATATGAGCTTTTGATGAAAGAATTCTGGCTATGCCTTGGCCATCAACATTTATAAACGAGATTGATAGATAAATAGAGGAGTCTGTTAGCTTCCATAGCCACGGAAGATGAAGCTTAGATGAAGAAGAGAAGGATGCTTCGAGAAGGTCAGCTGAGAGAACAGAATTTGTTGTTAACTGAAAAGAGGAATTGTAATGTACAAACTACTTCTCTTTCTACTGTTTTATTTATACACATTGCATAACTAATTAACTCACCACTTGCTTAACTACTAATAACATTAACTCTACTTAAGCTAACTAGAGTTAGATAATCTCTAGTACTCTCAACACTCCCACTCAAGCCAATGGCTTGAACAAGTTCTGTACTCCAAGCCTCCCTAGCAAGTAATCATGTTGAAGTTTTCCTAGTCCTTTTATGAGTAGATCAACCAGTTGTTCCTTGGTTGAGACGTGCCCTGTCTTCAATATTCCTTGTGTAATCCTTTCTCTTACGAAATGACAATCAATGTCTATGTGCTTGGTTCTTTCATGGAAAATTGGATTGGCTACTATTTGGATTGCAGCCTTGCTGTCACACTTAAGCTTCACAGGTAACTCCACATCCAACTAAGCTCTTTGAACAATCCAACAAGCCAAGTTATTTCAGCTGTACATGAAGCCATGCTTCTAAACTCAGCTTCAGCTGAGCTTCTGGACACTGTCTCTTGTTTCTTTGACTTCCAAGAGATTAGTACATCCCCAAACTTTACTAAGTATCCTGTCACTGACCTCCTGGTTTGCAAACATGCTCCCCAGGCTGAGTCGCAGTAAGCACTTAGCTTATTGGTATTCTGTGTAGGCATCAACAACCCTAAACCTGGGGCTTCTTTTAGATATCTGACTACTCTAAGTGCTGCTTCCATATGAGACTCCTTTGGGCAATGCATGTATTGACTCAGCACTTGTGCAACAAATGCTATGTCAGGTCTTATCATGGTTAGGTATAGAAGTCTGCCCACTAGTCTATGATAACCTCCTGGATCTTTGAGTAGTTTATTTTCATGCTCCTCATTACCTTTTATACATCTATCATATTCTTCAGAAGTTAGCTTCTAATTTACTTCAAGTGGTGTTCCTGCTGGTCTTGTTCCCCCTAGCCTTGATTCAGAGATGAGTTCAAGTGCATACTTCCTTTGGCACATCACAATCCCTTTCTTGGACCTTGCAAACTCAATGCCTAGAAAGAATTTCAACTCACCTAGTTTGAACTGACTTTGTAGATCTTTTCTCGTCTGATTCAGTAGAGATTGGTTGTTGCTTCTGATGAGCAGATCATCAACATAGACTAGTATCACTTTTAGATCAATATCTGCCTTCCTTGTAAATAAGGAGTAGTCATAGTGACTCTGTTGGAACCCCATCTGCAGCAGTGACTCTATCAGCTTCTTGTTCCATTATCTAGGTGCTTGTTTAAGACCATACAGAGATTTTTGAAGTTTGCAGACCTTCAAGGACTCCCCTGGTTGCTAAACCCCTCAGGAACATGCATATACACCTCTTCTCGTAGCTCCCCATTGAGGAAGGCATTGTGGACATCCATTTGATAGATAGCCCATTACTTAGCTGCAGCAAGAGCTATCACAGTCCTGACTGTTACCATCTTGGCTATTGGGGAGAAGGTCTCATTATAGTCAAGACCTTCTCTTTGACTATAGCCTTTGGCAACCAAACGATCCTTGTATCTCTCCACCTCCACTGAAGCTCTATACTTAATTTTGAATATCCACTTGCATCCAATTGGCACTTACCAGGTGGCAAGTCAACAATGCTCCATGTATGATTGTCTTCCAAGGCAGCTATCTCCAATTGTATGGCTTTTATCCACTTTGGGTCAGCAGAGGCTTCTTTGAATGTCTTTGGTTCTGACAAGGCTGAATAAGTAGAGAGAGCTTGTAGATACACTAGCTTGAGCTGCTTATAGGATACGTATGATGCTAGGGGATATGGGCAAGATTGCTTGAAGCTTTTGGTTATATAGTCTTGTAACCATAAGGGAGGCTTAATTGGCTTAGAGGACCTTCGAAGACCCACTGGAGAGGTTTCAGCTGATGAAGGAACTTGCTCAGATACAGTATGGTCAATGCCCGATGATGAAGAAGGCTGGCCAACTGTATTGACTTCTGCCTCTGATGTATCAGTAAATTGTGTAGGGATCTCACTTGGATGTGAAGGGATAGGAGAAGACTCGGATGAGTAAGTAGAAAGACATGGAACATGGCTGTCTCTTTCCCATATTGTACACCATCAGAGGACATAAGGTCCATAACTGGAAAGACTGGAGTTCCTGCTGCTTTTATGTGCTTGAAAAGAAAGTGGTTCTCCTGAAACACTACATGTATGCTTACCAAGATACTCTGAAAGTGAAGATCATACAATTTGTACCCCATCTGAATAGTAGCATATCCAATGAACACTGTTGGCACATCTCTGGAGGCAAACTTGTCTACTATTTTGGGAGTAGCAGCATAGCCCAGGCAACCAAATACTTTCAGATGAGCTAATAAGGGAGCATAGGAGTACATCGTTTCAAATGGAGATCTGTCAGCAGTAACTCTTGAGGGTAGCCTGTTGATCAGATAGACAGCTATGGCTAGACATTCCCCCAGAACCTTAAAGGTATTGTAGCCTGGAATCTGAGGGATCTAGCCATATTTAGGATAAATCTGCGTCTTCTTTCAGCAATCCCATTATGTTGTGGGGTGTAGACACATGTGATGATTAATCCCAAATTCAGACATAAGGGTTTTGACCTCATGACTGAAGAATTCACCTCCATTATTTGTCCTTAGAGTCTTAACTGAACTAGAGAATACATTATTCACTTTATTCAGAAAATCTCTTAGCACAACTATGGTGTCTGACTTAGAGACAATTAGGCAGATCAAAGTGTATCTGGTGAAGTCATCTGCAATTGTAACAAAGTATCTTTTCCCATCATATGTTGGGACCATGTAGGGTCACCAAACATCACAATGTATTAATTCAAATGCAGCTTTTGAGACAGTAGTGCTCAATTGAAAAGGTAATTTTGTTTGCTTGGCCAAAGGGCACATGGTACAAAATGATTGATCACATGGTTTTAGATTGCTGAGAAACTCATGTTTTCTAATCACCTCAATAGGTGCATGGCCTAATCTCATATGCCATAGTGAACAAGAATCAGAAACACTAGTACCACTCTTGTTGTTCTCACTATCAGTTGTAACACCACCTTTATTAATTGCATTAACTACATTATTTGGAGACTTAGCTGTAGTAGATAATGAACTTCCTTGCAGTGAGCTTCCCTGCAATATGTAGAGTCCCAGCTCCTCCTTACCAATCCCCTTCACTTGACCACTGTAGAGATCCTGAAAGATACAAACGTCAGGGAAGAATGCCACTAAACACTGTAACTCCTTGGTAAGTTTAGATACTGAAAGCAGGTTGTATTTGAAATCAAGTGTATATAGAACATCACTGATGTCCTGATTAGTGAACATAGAGGATTTTTCTGTGTGTGTAACTAATGCTACTTCTCCTGTAGGTAAGTGTACTTTATTTATCTCAGACTTTGGGACAAGCTGACAAAATTTTAACAACTGCAGGGTGGATGTCATGTGGTTGGAGGCTCCAGTATCTATTATCCACCTATTATTAACAAATTGAGATACCAAGGCAATCAGAGTACCTGCTGCTGCAGTCTTGCAAGAAGTGCCTTTATCCATGCCTTTGTTGAGCAACTGAACAATTTGTTGATACTGTTCCTATGTGAAGAATGGAGCTGGCTGCTGAATAGACTTTTGAATTACTGATTGTGGAGGCTCCTGTGTAAAGTAAAGAGTGGAGTGTTGAATAGGCTGCTGAGGTATTTGAGGATTCTGCTGATTCTGCATTCCAAAGACCATTTGTGGATTGTTGTTAGTAAACTGGTAGGCATCTTCAGGAGCATGGACTGCTGCAGGACTTGCATAATTTGCATACACTCCAGGACTACCTCCCTTCGAGTGATTGTTCTCATCATCTGTAATTGCCATTTCCAGCTTCCTTGAGTCCAATTCAACTCGATTTCAAAGAGCCCTAACTTCAATACTCTGCCACTTTGAGACAGTTCAACGCTGGATGTATGAATTGAAGTGACTCAGAAGACGAACAAGCGAAAGATTGAGCATAGGTCGGACATGCAAGCTCTGATACCATGTTAGTTTCCATAGCCATGGAAGATGAAGCTCAGATGAAGAAGAGAAGGAAGCTTCAAGAAGGTCAGCTGAGAGAACATAATTTGTTATTAACTGAAAAGAGGAATTGTACTGTACAAACAAGTTCTTTTTCTACTGTTCTATTTATACACATTGCATAACTAACTAACTCATCACTTGCTTAACTACTAATAACATTAACTCTACTTAAGCTAACTAGAATTAAATAATCTCGAGTAGTCTCAACAGAGTCCAACCACTGCTTAAAAACTTTTATACACACTATGTAATAAATTGCAAATTGGTCAGTGCTACTTGAAAAAACATATAGTAAGATATTAAATTGAAAGGTATGAAGTAGGCTCTTTGTAAATTTCTTTTTGGTTTTGAAATACAGCAATATCATTACTCTTACTATGCTAATATGGTTTAGAGATTTTCTTTTTGGAATTTATATGCAACAAAAATTGCAAACATGTGTAGGGGGAAAAGGAAAAAAAAAGGGACAGAGATCTCGAATCTTTATAGGAAAAGCTGCACCTTGCAATTGGAATCCACCAACGGTCTAGAATGTATTCCATTTAGAATCTCTTACTTGTCTTTTTAATTTTAATCTGCTCAACAAATTTTATTTCTTTTAAAATATGACAAGTAGTACAAATCTAATAAACAATTAAGACTTAATTAATGAGATTGACACTCATATAGTAATATGCGAGTAAATGTCATTATAAATCATAGAGCTACTTTGAATATCTTTAGTCCACTTGTTATCAAAAAACCATAAGCTAATACAACTCTCTATAACAACATCCTTATATAACAACACTTCACCATAAAAATCAAGTTTTTTCGGAACCAAATTTTATGTTCTTTATAATATAATATTTTCTATAACAACAATTCGCAATAATATCCAAAAATATTCAGAATAAACGAGTCTATTTTAGAGAGGTTTGACCGTAATAGTAGTAATTGAGTGTAATTTAAAGCAAATATAGAGGATAATTATTTAAGGTCAAACATCTAAATATCATAGCTTAAAGTAATTTACTAAAAACCAAAATTTATGGTTATAGACTTGCACTGATTGGTGAACAACCTACCTGAAAAGCAGAAAGTGTACAGAAAACGTTACCATTATTGAAATTCCTTAATAAAGTAAGGGCTTTATTGTCATTTACATGGAGTCCGACAAAAATTTGAAAAACGAGTGGCCGTTTGAACCCCATAAAACATCGAACTTCCAAAACCAGCTCTCTTCAATGCTACCCAAATAAAAACAACTCTTATCTCTTCAAACCCAGTTCACAAACAAGAAGTATATTTAGAGAGAGAAACAGCTAGAGATACGTATAGAGAGAGAAAGAAAAATGACGGGGTTGGTGATGGTGACAAGAGGGGGTGGGTGTGGAAATGTGAAGAGCAGTTCAAAGGAAAGTGTTAATACTGAAATGCAAAATCAACAGCAGTTGTCTTTAGTTGATTTTATCTTAGCTGCTTTAAGAAAATCAATGGTGTCTTGTCGTGTAGAAAGACAAGAACAAGAAGAGGCGATATGTAATGCAGTTCATCAAATGGAAATAGGGTGGCCCACAAATGTGCAACATTTGACCCATGTCACTTTCGATCGGTTTCATGGGTTTTTGGGTCTTCCTGTTGAGTTTGAAGTTGAAATCCCATGTAGAGTTCCCAGTGCCAGGTTTTGTTCCAAAATCTCAGCTTTTTTCTTGTTATGTGTTTGAAATTCTTGTTCT